TCCTCTTGTCCCATTTGTTGCTTTGTTGAGATCCCAGCAATTACAGTGCAATGCTAAAACCAATAGAATCAAGGGCTAGAGCTGTGATAATAACAATGTATTATACTAGTTTTAGTTTTTGTTCATAAGGAGAAGCAATGCTCTGTGAGAAGCAGTCTTCTCAACTAAATGTTTGCTTGTTTTATAAATTAAGACAGAATTCTACTTATACATTAATATACTTCTGTTCATCTCTCAAATATCGAACTCCCTCAAATCAGCCTCTGTCGAAACAGGAACATGCGTTATGCTGCTGTAAGCCTCAGCAAACACTAAGCACTGAGCCCCTCAGTCCACAGTGGCGGCTGCTTAGTCATGCAGTCTGATAACATGGTGTGACAGCACGAAAACTGTGAGGGTCCCTCCGTATGAATAATAGTTGTTCTGGGTCCATCAGCCTTCCAGTGTGTTGATCTTTCGTGTGAGAGACACGTGTGCAGCAGGACACAGTGCGTTTCAAGAGAGGACTGCAGCTCGCAGGCAAACAAGAGCAGACACACACACACACACACACAGAATATGAACACTGACACAAACACATGTATACAGACACATTTAGCTACACTTTGGCAGGGAGTTTCTCCAGAGACAGAAGTGTGTGTGGGAGTGAGGGGACACAAACTGCAGAACACTGAGCTGTGAGCGAAAAAACTGATCAGGATCATGGGTGGATGCTTTTTTTTTTTTGACATGTTCACTGATTTCCCAGGGACTAACTGATGGATCTCTATGGGAAAAAAAATCTGGAATGTATAGAGAACTGATTTCTATGGTTGTGTGCATGCATTTTGACTGAATTTAAGTGAACTGTTGCGTTTTGGCGGAGGTATGAGTGCTGTTCCAGTTGAATAATAAAATAATGTTTAACAGAAAGTTAAATAAATGGATTTGATGTCTTACCATGTCTCTACCATGTGTGGTTCAATCACAGAAAAACAGGATTTCCACACTTTCAACACCATTGACCTTTCAAGGACTTTCCAGGCCCAGTTCCATCCCACAAACAAATAGAAAGAGAAAGAGAGGCTTTAATGTTTGAACACTGTTTAATTGAGCTGTGTTACAGTGACGGGAGACTATGTGGTCTATTTGCCTTTTCTAACACAGCCCAGCAAAACAGTTTATTGTGTAAGTTGAGTGATGGAGACATGAGACTTGAGCTGAGATGCCAGGGGAACCCGAGGAACACTTAAAATCATTACAAATCATAATAAAAGTGATCTTTGTGTTTTAACAGGGAAGAGACAATTCAATCTAGGTGCAGATCCCAGAATTTCTTATCATGTTCTTTCACTGAAAAATAAAAATGTACTCTATCTACTCACCACTAAGCCGGTGGATGGGTGGATGAAGTGTTTGAGGGGGAAACAGTGTAGCAGTGTTGCATTGGCATGCCTCCATACTGCTTGTGTGGTGTCATCCAAGTGTCCGCAAGCCCCGACATTCAAATTCCTCAAACTGCGTAATTTACACTGTGTGTTAAGCCTCTGATATCCTCCTCTGAGGGGCGTTCAGGTTCTCACAGACAAACCGGGTAGAGGACTTTTAGGCCTAAAACACTGAGTAAAAGTCCTTGTTTCAAGTCGAATTTGAATGTCGGGGCTTGTGGACACTTGGAGCAGTACGGAGGCACGTAATGTTTTTTTCTGTTGTTTTATTACGTCTGAAGAAGTGGTCACCTTGGCTCTAACACTGTTTACCCCTGAGACTTCTAAAGTGTTTTGTGGTCTCATACACTTCACCGACCCCTCCATCGGCATAGTGGTGAGTAGATATTGAGTGGATTTACATTTCTCCGTGGGGTTTAGATGATTTCTCAGAGAATACAAAATGTAGGCATGTTTTGGGGACTGATATTCATGAGTGTGTGCAATTTGGGGCGTATCCCTCCATCAAGGCCCAATCAGTCCCTTGATCTGACTGATCTATGAATTATTTCCTGAGAAATTGGTGAAAATGCCCCCAAAAAATCCCCTACCTTGCAATTTTCAAGAAAGTGATAAAAACTTCTGGATCCCCACCAAATTGAATGGGTTCTTACTCGACCCATTCCACATCCTTCCTCCAAGGATATAGGTCATATGCACAACACTGCATGGTCTCTGTGGCCTTACTTTAAAAGCAGAGCTCACATGTGACCATCATGAAAGCACGGTTATTTGATGCAAGCATCCAGGACGGAGTAGTTGAGGTCTATGTGTAAGCTGTGCGCCTCTCCCACCTCCACCCCCTCCTCAGTTTCCTTTGGTCTTTGGAGAGAAGAGTCCCTCCGAGAGGAGCACGTGTATTCTGCTCCTCTCACATGATTCATCTCCACCAGCAAGCAGCCCGGGCATGAATTATTCACCCTCCACTGTGACATGGAGAAATAGCGAGACAAAGGGTGGGGAGGTCGTTGCATGTGGTAGAAAATTAGTGATACAATGCATAGAAACGAGAGACAGCAAAGTAAAGTGAGCTAGATTTAACCGAAACTGACTAATTTCATGTTTACTGCTGAAGTTATGATAGTCCTAAGTAATGGACTGGATTACATTACTTTGGGATAAATGTGGAAATCTGCAGTTTTAAGGAGCAATCAAACAGAGAGCATATTTCTGAAACTGTTGCAGACATTGGGCCGTCTTTTGCCTTTCTTGAGAGGACAGTGCAAGACTGAAATGGGGAGAGAGAACAGAGGAAGGCCAGGTCGGAACCGAACCTGCAGCCGCCGTGGAGAAATCAAGCCATCGTATGTGAGCGCTCACACTACCAGGTGAGGCAGCAGGCGCCCCAATGCCAAAAGCAGAAATAAACTGATAACAACTCAATTCACCAGTATTTTGTTCAGAGTTACAACTCTGTGCATTGTGTTAATTTAGACTTTTGAAATCTTGCAGTGGATGTTGCAAGATGTAGTCAACCAAGATCACACTGTCACCTCTTCAGTTTCTGCAAACATCCACAATCTCATCAACAGGCAACAGGTTATAGTGTCATCGTGGCAAATGCTTAGGAAAAACATGTTCCTGGCCTCCTGATGATTATTAAGTATTTGGGTGTTTAGCTCTATATTTAACCATGTTCAGCTGGTTAAATCCTGCAATAAATACGAAGGTAGTGATTTTCAATGCTTGTATCAAAAGTGCCGCAAGTTTGAAATTGAAGAATCCAAAGTGAGAAAGAGTGATGACTTGAACTAAAAAGGAGTCAACACACGGGTCAGGTGCTGCCATCCAGAGAGTGAACAGAGGTTGGAGTCCTGCCTTCACCCAGTCAACCATTATTCATGACATTAAGCGGTATGGATGCTCTCTCTCTATCTGGCCAGTGTAACTCCAGACCCTTATGTCACAGGTGACTGGAGGACAGACGTCACTGCAACCCAAGACGACACAGAACTATAGTCAGCTATAACACAGAGTGCTTGACAGCGAGGCGGACAGCCGTCGGAGGAATGGTAAATTATGCAATGTTTCACACCATTTTACAAAACCTGACACGTAGTCACACATCGTATTACCTCATCCATCTTTATGTGTTTGTAGGATACATTACTGCTCCATTTTCTAGCACTCAGCATAAGCACACACAGGAAATCCTCATGAATACGATGATGATGTATCGAGTACAGTGAGTCACATTTATACTCATTCTGCATGTATATTAGCACGCGCACTACGACAGCAGCTTTGGAACTATGTAAATCACCCGCCCACACGTAAGAGCAGTGGTATTATTATGATAAAAGATCGACCGTGGCAGGTCTGTTCCGATGTGATGCTGTGCTCCGAATGCGACAGATACACAAGTGTTTTACTCACAGGGTAGATAAGTGGTCCTACTTTATGGGACAAACAGATAATATGTAATGTGGACAAAAATGACAAGTGTCCAACTCAAGAGTCTCTCACCTGGACAAGGGTTTCACCCAAACACTGGAGTAACAGAGGGAGCATCCCAAAACACTGAGTCAGTATTCAAACCATCCACACACGCTCACACAGCTGTAAGATGATCCAAAGTGGGCCACAGAGGAAACCTCCCCGTTAGCGCGCGAGCACAAACACGCACGCACACACACAATTATGACCGCTGGTGAATAATTCAGCATTGTAGTGGAAGCTTGTGTCTGAGTGACCTGTCTTGAGTTAATTTGCAACAAAGAGTTAAAGTGAGATCCAGAACTGAAATGACATTTTGAGATTTGTTTTTAATCAATGCTGATAAGATTCACAGTGATAGGAGAAGCGGTTTTGTACCATTTCCCCCTCCAGGAGAAAGAAGGGTCATCTACACACATCCCAAACAGGAAACTGTGATTATTTGATTGTCAAGTGTTAATGCAAACAGTACATGTATAAACTAGGAGGTTGTTCATGGCTTGTTTTTTCTTTTAGTTAGCAGGATTATGCCAAAATATCTCAGTTAGTTGAATGTTGTACAGATATTCATTGCTTCCAGGCGAATTACTGTTTTTGGTGATTCT